CCCCCGCTTGCCTCGTGGTTTCCCCCCGGCTCTGCTCCTCGCCTTCCGCCCTAAATAACCAACACATTTCACTTCTTACCCTTTTCCTGTCCCTCTTGTTCCCAGCCTCTTTTTTGGGGGGGTGGAGGGGCAGTAAGTTTGTTATCCTTTACATTTAATTCTAGCTATTATGTTAAAGCTTGTACTCGGGGTAAACGTGAAACGTTGGTGCAGATACTGGCTGTTGTGCATAGCTGGGCATTTGGAGTGTCACTGATCCGGTGTATATAGGTCCCCTACCATATGTCAGGCACACTGGTAGGGTTGGGGTTTTTTTTAATGCGCATGAACCGTGACTGCTGTGTGAAGAACTGACAAACCATAATGGGGTGTATTGATTGCTGCCTTAAAGTATGGACAAAATGTAGCAACACAGGCAGAGGGAAAATGAAACAGCAGTGATGTTACAGTGAGTGGCTTAGGGAACAGCGAGCAAAGTGACTGAAACAATGTAACAGCTGGAGGAGTCCTGGCCTCCCCAGCTGAAAAGTAAACAGGTCAGGTTGTATGCTCTGTTCTGTCGTTTGTATTGCCCTGTAGTCTCTGGGGACTTCACTGTCAAAGATCCTTGAATGCTGAAATGACGTTTTTATAACTAAGAAAAGTTTACTTACTGTGTGTAGTATGCAGGGTAGATTGAGAAACTAGAAATCTTTTAAAATGGTCAAAGCCTGAGGTGACCGGCACGACGTAAAGTATGGGTTAGAGAGGAGGAGGTACAGTAATCAGTTTTGCCGTATCTGAACCCACAGGACTGCAGACTGGATGTAGGGAGAAAGGTGAAATGGACTCCATGGTTTCTAGCCTGGGTGGCTGCAGGAGTACAAGAGAACGGGCTTGACGGAGCAGGAAATGGGCTCAGTGTTGGACACACACTGAGTTGAGACGTCTGCAGGGAATGACCCAGATCAGAAAGAAGAGATGATACTACAGACTCTATAGATATTAAAAGGGGGGAAGTAAGGGGATATTGTAAACATCTTTACAATATCAACAAATTTGACAAATGAAATATACAAATTCCTTTCAAGACACATGTTACCAAAGCTCAGTCGAGAAAAATAATCAGTATAACCTTATATTTACTAAAGAAATTAAAATGGTAATTTTAAATCTTTTCACAGAGACAACTCCAGCCAAAATAGTTTCACTGGTAAATTCTATCAAATATTTAAGGAGTAAGCCATGCCAATTCTACACAAACGTTCCCCAAGAAATTGGAGAGCAAGGAATACTTCCTAACTTACTCTGAGAGGGCCAGCACTATCCTAACACCCAAACCGGTCGACATTACGAGATAAGGAAACTATGAGACCTATATCCATTATCAGTATAGATGCAAAAATTGTAAAAATTTAGCAAACCCAATCCAATACTATATTAAATGGGCAACATATCCTGACTGAGTAGGGTTTATCCTAGGAATTCAGAGCAGAGGTGGAGCCGCGTGTCAGTGAAAGTAAACTCCTGAAACTTAAGTTGTAAAGGCATTATACTCCCATTGTTAATAATCAGAAAACAGGAAAGGATGTGGTATTTTACTGTGAACTTGATCAATTTTACTATTTTAATTTCTCATATCTTATTGTCCCAAATGTGCTTTCTTTTTTAGTTAATATTTAATGGTGAAGGAGAAAAAAGAGTTGTGTATTTTGCTTTCTGAAGAAGTAATTTTTCATTTCAGGTTGCCGAGGAGCCCAAGTGGAAGAAATATGGAGTTTAGAGCCTGAGAATTTTGAAAAATTAAAGTGAGTATAGTTTTAGTTGTGTTAAAAATTGTCTACATTTAAGCAGACTCCCATCCATTTATTTTACTTGGACAACTCTGGGCTGAATCCATGGTCTCCAAGTTTTCTCTCAATCCTGAGAGAGAGGAGTTGTTGTTATTTTATAACCAAGAACCTAAGCCTTCCAGGTAAGTAGCTTGCAAGGGATTTGAAAGTAAGCCCCTGCAGTTCCACGTCAATAAAGTAATTGATTGGTTTATTGTTTACAACATTCAGTCTTAGATCATGGATTAGAACATGGGACACGTTTTAGCATATAAGACATGAGTCGGGGTCTGTCCACAAAAACATATTTAATAATGTATATTACCACTAACTCAGACTTGTCTATACATCATCCCATTGCTTCTGGGGTGGCTGCGTCCAGATTCCAAGTGTAGGTGCCAGGAAGTACCTTCCTCTTCCCTTGTCCTTCCGAGTAGAACCACCCGAGCCCTCCCCACCGCCCGCCTCCATGTCCCCAAGCGCTGACCCTGTGTTGCAAAGGGAGGGCCAGGGGAGTTCTCACTGGTGGGAGAGTTCTTGGGATGGAGGCCGGTTGGCTCTTCACAGGGACAGTGGGGGCCATTGGATATGGCTCCTGTTTTCATAGAAGGGGATGGTGTGCTCCCCCCCCATCCGCAGTCACTTTAGGTGGAATAAGAGACCTGTTTTGGCTGAGTGGTCAGGGATGGTTTATTAAAGATGGGACTTGGAACTGTCTTTAGAGGATGGGAGAGATTTTTGCTTCATGGAAGGCAGTTGTGGAAGAGACTGGAGAGGATCGTAGGGGGTCGAGTTGACGTTTCCTGGGCAACAGCAGGAAAGTGGTGGCTTCCTTGCCTAGGAGACGGCAGCTTCCATTCGCACTGTGGTGCGAGGCTGTTCGCGCATCTGAGGATTGTACGAAGTGACTCCCTGTATTTTGTGATGCACACGCTGCCAACCTTCATCTGCAAACCCCCAGTGAGCTGGGTCCTGTGTGTTGGAATTCAGTCTCCCTCAGCAGCAGCTTCTAGTTTCGCTTTGTTCTTTCTTCTCTAAGTGAAGTGTTGTAAGGTAGAAATGAGTAATCCGCAGATTTGAGAATAAGCCTTTCATCATAATTCTATCTTAAGTGATCTAATTTTTAAGTTTTATTAGCCTGTCTTCGGTAACATTCTAGCAACTGAATAGCAGTACAATCTTTAAAAAGAAAATTCTAGCCCAGCTGGCGTGGCTCAGCGGTTGAGCACCGACCTGGGATCCAGGAGATCGAGGTTCGATGCCGTCAGGGCACCTGCCCGGGCTTTGGGCTCGATCCCCAGTAGGGGGCGTGCAGGAGGCAGCCGATCAATGACTCTCTCATCATTGATATTTCTGTCTCCCTTCCTCTCTCTGAAATTGATAAACAATTTTAAAAAAAATTGCACGTACGTTATTTGCACTGTTTGTTACTCGGGCGGGTAGAGCTAGTGTGCTGGCCGTGGTACAGGAAGGGCAGGGCGCGCTGTCACTGATCTGCATTTTATCCCATAGGCCAGTTCACGGGTTGATTTTTCTTTTCAAGTGGCAGCCAGGGGAGGAACCGGCAGGCTCTGTGGTTCAGGACTCCAGACTCGACACGATCTTTTTTGCCAAGCAGGTATGGCCCCTGGGCACCCGAGAGCCTTGAGAGCCATCTCTCTTACAAACAGGACTCTGTTCCCACTGTGTGGTTACCCTAACTGGGTGGGTGTCGGCAATGTCACGAGTCCATGTAATTAATGTGGTTTACTGGAATCTTCAATCCCAGAACTGCAGAGCGTACCTGAAACGTTTATGATGACAATTAAATGCTCTATTATGTTCATGCTAAGACTATAGGAAATAACATTGGGAAACTACTAACTTTGTGTTTTGGGGGGCACTGTTTCCAGTTGAAAGCTGCTTTTTTCCTCTAACACCTTGATGACATCTTCGCCCCGTCTTACAGGTGATTAATAATGCGTGTGCGACCCAGGCCATCGTGAGTGTGCTGTTGAACTGTACCCACCAGGACGTCCACTTAGGAGAGACGTTGTCAGAGTTTAAAGAATTTTCACAAAGCTTTGATGCGGCCGTGAGTACAGTCTTCTTATTCCTAAAACGCCCTTTCTGTGACAGTTCTTACTTTAATGGGTGACTTCTGAAAATATTTTCAGATGAAAGGTCTGGCGCTGAGCAACTCGGACGTGATCCGACAGGTGCACAACAGCTTCGCCAGGTGAGGGACCTGTGCTGAGGGACCCCGCCTGCTGCTTTCTCTGCTTGCTTGTCTCTCACCGTGTCTCCTTCACCGCAGACAGCAGATGTTTGAATTTGATGCGAAGACGTCGGCCAAAGAAGAAGATGCGTTTCACTTTGTCAGTTATGTCCCCGTGAACGGGAGACTCTACGAACTGGATGGATTACGAGAAGGACCCATTGACTTAGGTAACTGGTGCCCCTTCCTGCTGCTTCACTCTTGACCAGGGAAGACGCCGGGGAGGCACCTCTGCTTCAGCCTCCGTGCTGCAGAGGCTGGAGGGGAAGGGGACGACGCGGGCAGTCTCGGGACGGCCCTAAGCCCTTCAGCGCTTCATTCAGTTAACAGACAGGAAGGACGCGTCGACCGCCTCTGCGTCACCAGGGAAATAAGAACGGAACGTGGGGCGGTGAACACAATACATTGTGCAGATGATGTTATAGAATTGTACCCCTGAAACCTGTGTAATTTTGTTAACCAAAGGCAGCCCCAATAAATTCAAGTAAAAAGTAAGAACTGAAGCTGAACATGGTTAAGCCAAGAGGATTTTCAGTATTCTGAATTTCCTAAATTATTTATGAAAAGAGATGGCTTTGGGCCAGAGTTTGGAGGTGCGCCGGTGCTGGTTCTCCCTGGTGGAAGTGCGTTTTCGTTTCCCTAGGCGTGTGCGGTCAGGACGACTGGGTGAGCGCCGTGAGGCCGGTCATCGAGAAGAGGATGCACAAGTAAGCCCTCCGCTCGCCTCGCGCGCGGGGTCGGGTGGTCTCAGCTGCTTTCAAAACTTTCATTACGTTTTTATTTTAGCAAAATTACTGAGTATCTGTCTACCTTTGATTACGTGTGTTTAGGGAATCTACTCTGGGAAGTCTCTAGATTCTGCCGTCTACATAGGAGTTAAGCTCAGATTTCTGTTAAGTGAGGTATTTTGTAGAGTTTTGTTTTGAGCATCTGTGTTTTAATTAAATTAAACTTTGACTTCCTAGAGAATTATGGGGTAATCACAGATTATCTTAATTGTAATAGTGTTACAGTTTCCTTATTGCATTATAAACTTTCATTTTTTTAGGTACAGTGAAGGTGAAATTCGATTTAACTTAATGGCCATCGTGTCCGACAGAAAAATGATATATGAGCAGAAGATAGCAGAGTTGCAGAGGCAGCTTGCTGAGGTTCGCGGCCGTGTTTTAACGTACAAAGTTCTAATTTAGTTATCTTCTCAGAAAGTATTTACTTTTCCCTCCCTCTTCTGTCTTTCCTTCCTCTCCTTTCCTTTCTTCTTTCAAACTTAGACTGAACCCAGTGTCCTGAGCGGTGGTTAGAACACGCTCGGGACTCAGGCTGCCTGGCTCCAGCTCCTGGCTTTCCTGCCTGGTGGATGCGTGAATTTGAGTGCATTTCTTTGTGCCTCGGTTTCTTAAGTAAAATAGTATTTACCTTATAAGGTTGTTGTGAAGATTAACTGAAATAATATGTGTAAACCACTTTAAACAGTGACTGACAAGCAGTATGTGCTAAATAAGTGTTAGCAATTAGTTGCTTACTGTCCTCTAATTAAGAAGTCAGACTGTGAGCCAGGATCAGTTGGGTAGATCCAGATTCACATATAACCTTCCCTAGTCTTTACGATGGATTATCCTGTGGTAAGTAGGGTTGGACAAGAACATTAGTAACAGGCACAAAGACCTTTCACATTCTTTTGGGCACATTTTCTTAAGAGTATATTTAGGTGAATTGGCAGCTGGCTGGAAGGGTAGAGCAGCGACATGTTAACAGCGTAGGCTGTTTTTAGGTGAACGTTGGTAGGAGTGTAGACTAGAGACGGAAGGTTCCCCTCGGCTTTCTCCTTTACGGGGGCCTTCATTGGGCTCATGTCCTGTTCCCGTATTAAGGGTAAAATTTGAAAGGCCTTGTACCCTGTTTATCACTTGAGAACATCTTGACCTAAGCCTCAGTTTTTAGGGTGTTACGTGTCGTCTTTTCCCAAGGAGGAGCCCATGGATACCGACCAGGGTGGTATGCTGAGTGCCATTCAGTCAGAGGTCGCCAAGAACCAGATGCTCATTGAAGAGGAAGTACAGAAATTAAAACGATACAAGGTGCTTCTCAGAGTTTGTTCCTTTACTGTTTCAGGGCAGAGCGGTAGGTTCCGACAGGAAGGCTCGTGGGACGCTTGGCCCTTTTCCGCCCTTATTTTTAAGTGTTATTATGGACAGATCTTTAACCTATTTGGTGTTTCATTTGCCTGCAGTTAGTGCTGATGCTCAGGTTATCCCCCCTTTGGCCAGTAGGAGCCACTGCAAGCTGTCTCCTGAGTCCTGACCTGGCTCCCCAGCCTGGTAGCTTCTGTCCTGGAGGACAGGTGTTCGGGTGGATCCCGGTGTGGGGTGTGCAGGAGGCAGGTGTTCGGGTGGATCCCGGTGTGGGGTGTGCAGGAGGCAGGTGTTCGGGTGGATCCCGGTGTGGGGTGTGCAGGAGGCAGCCGATTGTGTTTCACACTCATGTTGATGTTACTCCTGCCCTCTCCCTTCCAGAGTCCACAGGGTCACAGCTCAGGTTGTGCTATATTAGAATGAAATGTAAAACTTTTCCTTTCTTTAAAAACCCAGATTTTAATGTAAATCATTGAAAGAATGATTTTTATTATTTAATTCAGCAAAAATTTGAATTATCACAGAATTTAGAACTAGAATGGCCATTGACGGGTGGGGTGGGGTGGGAGATGTAGCCAAGACTAGGAAGTAGGTTTTCTTGTTCCGAAGCTGGCATTCCCTTCACTGACGGGAAGCTAGCACGTTTAGTGAAACGCTCCAAGACACTCTCAGTGGGAACAGAATCTCGTTATCTCTGATATTTTTCTTTTGAGAATGGAGGGTTTTCCCCATTTCTGTTTCAAGTTGTATGCAAAATTGAAATGTCAGAAACTTACCGGAAATGCAAAGCTAGTGAGGTTTGATGTTTGTTTTATTACCAGATTGAAAATATCAGGAGGAAGCATAACTACCTGCCCTTCATTATGGAATTGTTGAAGACGCTAGCAGAACATCAGCAGTTAATACCGCTGGTCGAAAAGGTAAGGCTTTTACTGCTGGGTTTCAACTGAGCATTAAATGTAAAAATTACCGCAGACGAATGCTAAACCCTCTCTGTGATACACATTTTTCTATTCATGTATCTCAGTGTTTTCAAGTTACGAAAGTCCAAGGCAGGAAACTGATTTTTAAAGTTTTAGATTCACAGTTGGGGTCTCGTGATTCTCAAAGTTGCTCAGTTAACAGAGCATCCGGCTGTGTGTCCTCTGTATGAAACTGAGAACACTCCCCATTAAAAATAACTGAAACAATGTAGACTGTTGTGCTGTACCAGGGGGTATGTGCTACATCAGATTTTTGTGTAGATACATATTAAGGAGCAGACAAATGTTAGGAAAATTTTAAATGTGTGTGTTTCGATTCTAAATTGTTCTGTGAATAAATACTTTTGTGCACATTAGGAAGACGACAAGTCTGGTTTGGTTTTACTGACAGTATAATTCCAGAGGTTTGTTGTTTTGTTTTGTTTTTAAAAGCATAGTTAGAGAACCATAGCTTTTCAGATCTTGCACCGGAACAGCAATTCCGCAGCTCCCCCTGTGGACACAGGGTGGCAGTCTGTGAACGCGTGTGGACGGAGCAGGCAAACTCTAATTGTCCAGGAGTAGTTGCATCCAGTTATGAAAGATAATGCTCTAGAAATCTCACAGACAATACGTTACAGGCCTTTTAGCTTAAGAGTCCCCTCTTAGGCACATTTTATTTTAATGTGCTCTAAAACAGAGCTTTCAAGATTTTGTAATATACTATCTTTAATTTCTAGGCAAAAGAAAAACAGAATGCCAAGAAAGCACAGGAGACCAAATGAAGAGGGTGCTGTGGTGTGCGCACTTGTGCTTCTGCGCGTGTTTCCATGGAAACCACTGAGTCCGAGGAGCGTGGAGCAGCACCCTGACTGCCTCAGTGCACATGGGGCAGTAGCCCCGTCTGTCTTGTCTTTACTGCATGGATTCATAAACGCTCCCTACCTGCATCGTGTGCATGTAGTGCCTGTTAAATAAAGGTGATGTCAAGAGCACTCGCCCATATCCCATTATTTGACATTGGATCTGAGACCTGTGATTCCTGCACATACAGCTACTGTAATGAACCTAGAAAACGCACAGAGGATATTCTGTACCTGTAATTGTCACTAATCCTTTGTTGTAGCTCAGTTAAATGCTTAAAATTTATAAATGTCAGACCTTGATTAAACTGGATCTCTTGTTCTCATCATTAATGGAAAAAAAAAAAAATCAGTATTTCTGTCTTTGATATCTAAATATTTTGAGGATTTTAAAACTGAATTTTATCTTCTATATCAATTATTTGGAAAAGTATGATTTTAATGCAGATTATCTGAAAAGGGCAATAGGACAGTTTCTAGTGATTTCATTGCTGCCAGTAGAAAAAAGTAATAAACATCCCAATTTTATTTTCGCAAACTCTCTTTAAGTGTGTGGGGTTTTTTATTTGTGTGTGTAAAACTGTTTTGGGAAGGTGTCCTGTTTTCAAAGCAAAATTTCAGGTGAGGAACAAAGTGTAAATTTTAGAGACTTGTGGTGGCACACTCAGCTGGGCAACATTTTTTTCAAGCTGTTAAGCTGTAATTTTGTAAAATACTGGAGGTTTGACAACGAAGGGTATCCGCGGTTTTAAACAAAGGGGTGATGGTGAACGATCCTTATGCGCCAACTTGAACAAAACCAGTCCAGCCCAGTAGTTCCCAAGAGCCATGTATGGTTTGCCCACAATGAAAATTACCCTACCCCCATTGTTTGGGAGTTGCTTTGTTTTCATTTTATAAAAATAACTGTATTCGTGCTCCTGATCTTTTCCAAGTTAAACTTAAAAGAGAATTTTATAAAACTTCTGTGATCTACTTTTTGGGGCACATTTCTGAAATTGATACACGACTTTCTAACATTTTATTATGGAAAAGTTTAAACGCATATAGGGAAAGTGTGTGCCTGTCTTCTAGCTTTACACACATGAATTTTTTTTTAATATGTTCTTACTGATTTTAGAGAGGAAGGGAGAGGGAGAGAGAGAAACATGGATGAGAGAGCATCACAGATCGGCTGCCTCCTGCATGACCCCCTGGGGATCGAGCCCACAACCGGGCACGTGCCCTGAAAAGAAGGCTGTTCCATTCTGTTTCGTGCCTTTTAAACGAGCTGATTCCCAGGGATATACTCCGTTACTATAAACAAACAACAGTCGCCAACAGCAGGGCGCGGGCTCCTCTCCCCTCATCTGTTTACTCCCCAGACAGGTGCCCTTCCCCAGCGAGCAGCTGGGCAGAGCCTTGAGCACAGACATATTCGTCCTGGGGTCGTGAACTCTGGGGACGCGCCCCCCACTTCAGACCACGATACATCCTTGTGTGTGTTGGGTGTAACACACTCAGACTAACACCTGCAGTGAATCCTCTTGGTTGCCTTATCAAGATACGTCCAGAAGTTACTTTTTTTTCCCTGTGAGACGGTATTGTTTCTTTTGTTCGGGGGAAAAAACGGCTTTTAAGGTTTTCCCTTTTATAAAAAACATTAAAGAAAGAGAAGTGAAAAAGTGCAAGTTGCCCTTCGTTGCACCACCGGGAAGACCGGCCACATCAGCATTTCAGTGTCCCCAGTGGCCCTCCCCCGCGGGTTTACACACGTGGGTCAGTCTCGAGTGCCCCCCCCCATTCTGAAATAGATGTATGCAGCACACATTACTTTCCAAGTGGATAGTACACAATCTATCATTTTCTGCATCATCGACGACTTACAGGAAACAAAGCCACTCTAGCAATTTTTAAGAGGAAATGGGATTAATGTTGGGAATTGTGAAACTACTTACTTCCTGTCAAAGCACTGGCAGGTTTGGCGGAGCGAGCTCAGGTCTGAGTCTCCAGAAACGACTCCCAGCGGGAGCCACGCTACAGGAACCTGCCGGGGCTCCCCGTGGGCACCTGCAGACCACGCTGGAAGGCGGGAGAATTCAAACTGAGGCTCAGCGTGCTGCTCGGAGCAGCTAAAGCAACAGGCGGATGGTCTCTGCCCTACCTTTGACTTTCAAATCTCACGCTAGCTTTTCTGCAGAAGAATTACACACTTGTCAGGTACCACCCTAGGTACTTTTGCACATTAACTGTAATCCTCAAAAGATGGGAAGTAGATCCTATTATCCCATTTTCCAGATGAGGACAGTAAAGCACTAAGTAAGTAACTAGCTCAAATCACACAGCTAGTAGCAGACCTGGGATTCAAAGTCAAGCTAACTGGCTCCTGCCCTCCCTCCCTTGCTCCTCTCTGGCCCCTCGCCCCCTTCCTGTTCTCAGAGGTGCAAGCTGCACCATGGACAGGATCCTACGGCGGAGGCGGTCGCGTGAGAACACGAGCTCTGGGGTTATTAGAGCTCTGTAGGAGACGTGGGTGACCTTCGCTGAGTTATTAAGGAATGCACAGGTGAGCTGGTAACCAGGCGCTCAGGAGCTCCCAGGGCTGGTCATTATAAGGATCATGATGAGAAGCTAACAAGCCCTCAGGTGGGCCTCCCAGGCTGTGTCTCCCAGTGAGGTTACCAAGGCCCAACATCTGACCTTTCAGCTTATGATGGGAGGCACTGAGAGTCCACTCAATGAGGGCCATAAGGGCACTGGATCACCGAGACGACTTAATAAAACCTGCAGGGGACTAATGAACTCCTGAAAGGCAATTTATTAATTTACTTTACAATTTCGACTGCCAAGCAGGCCAGACATTCCTATCAGCCTATCAGTGCGTTCTCTCCCTGGTAGATTAACTTACCAAGGCAAGCTAATTAAGACCAGAAGGTTGGTTGACTCTAGAACCAGTCCAAAGGAAATTGTTTTCTTTAGAGATATTGGCTGTGACAGACAGCCTGTGACCTGTTTTGCCATATTAGGCACTGACCCAGTCTGCCTGGCACACGACACACCTTGGTCAAAAGGTTAACTGCCTCCCTGTACATACGAGTAGAGACGACAAAATTTCAAACAGCGTAACGATCACTTTTTGGGTTGTTTTCTGACTCCCTTTCTCATTTCAGCGAATGTTTTCAAATACATTGTCTTACGTTTACATTTATTGGAGTTTGATTTTAGTCTAATCTGTCGTCTTAATGACGTTTGGGTAGATAGGCTCCTTAATTTTTTAAACTGTCTCCAGATAAAGGGAGTCTTTCCTATAACCTAAGGGGCACCTATGTATGAGAAATCACCATCTCTGTTCTAATATTGCCAAGGATACTGCCTGGCATAGTCTGTCTCCGATTTACTCATTTGCGATGCCCTGTTTCCTCATTATGACGTGGATCCTTTTCTCTTTTCACGTGATCGTTGCTGGAGTAGTTGTATCGATAATACAGGGAACACCTTAGTTACACTTCCTAAAGTGTCGTTACATTTTAACCCAAAATTTACTTGAATTAACATTTGTAATAAAATAAAAAAAGGTGTGTCCATGTGAGTAGCCTTGTTGTATCTTCCACTAGTAACTTGGTTACTTGGTAGCCTCTACCACTCTTCTAAAAACTGTACATAATTTAAAACTTTTTTTTTTTTTATTTCTCAATTAAGTCGACATTCAGTATCCCGTTAGTTTCAGGTGCGCAGCATAGACATCTATGTAACTTATGAAGTGGTCCCTCCGATAAGTCTAGTATCCGCCTGGCAGCAGGGGCGCGGTTATTACAATGTTACTGACTCTGCTCCCCAGGCTGTGCTTTATATCCCGTGGCTGTTCTGTATCTGCCAACTGGTACTTATGCACCCCCTCCCCTTTCTTTCCCAGCCTCCCTACCCCGCTCCCATCCGGCAACCGTCAAAATGCTGTCTGTATCTACGAGAAAGGGTGCATTCTTGCCATCTTTCAATTTGGTCAACACGACGTCACAGTTAAGACACAAAACTTTCTGCCTATTATTTTTTGGTCACACTGGAACCCCATCGTGCCGAACGCTGGAGGGCAGGCTGCCGGACGTGGGCGCAGGAGGCCTGGGAGTCTCGTCCTGCTTGGCTGCTACCTACTGAGTCCTGTCGGACTGTATTCTATTATCTCCTGAAATGCAGCCTGTCCTTTGTTGTAGGTTCCAAGTGGCACTTACAGAGCAAACCGGTGGCTTTCCTGTCTGTTTATACGGCTAACCCTTAAAACAAACACTGCCCTGTTAGAGCTTCACTGTATCAGCCACGCACGCTTCCCGCCGGCGCCTGCTCTCCTTCGCGGTTGAGTCTAAACGGGAGAATCAGGCGTATAAGCTTCTCTTCTTCTTCTATTCTTTTTTTATTTTTGGTACAAAAAGCACATGATTTTAAGAAAAAAGTTTTAAAAAGCAGCTTTCAAGGGCTCTTCTCTCTCGAGCTATTTTTCCTCCCTACCTTGCTGGTACTTCGTTCATTTCCCCCAGTTACTTTTTTTTAATTGTTGTAGGCAAGAGATTGAGTCAACCACCAGGATGGCATTACTAGACAACGGAAGCTCCTTCGGGGCTTTCCTGCATGTAAAAATTGTCAGGGTTTGCTAGGAGTTCTTGTTGTTTTTTTTTAATTTTTTTTTTTTGGGGGGGGGGTTTCTATTAGTAGTTCTTAATTATTTTAAGAAAATTGCCTGGCCAGTATGCTCAGTGGTTGAGTGTTGACCCATCACCAAGAGGTCTCTGGTTCGATTCCCGGGTTGTGGGCTCGATCATTAGTAGGGGGCGTGCAGGGGGCAGCCGATCAAAGACTCTCTCAGAATTGATGTTTCCCTCTCTCTCCCCCTCTCCCTTCCTCTCTAAGTCAATAAAAACATATTCAAAAGAAATGCTGGTTTTTGAGGGAAGCTGAAATGTCATTTCTCCACCATCAGGTTACTCCATCAGTAATAAGGAGAAATGTTGATGTAGATGGCTCAGGGCTAGTGATCTTTAATAATTATTTATTGCATATCTACTGAGCTCCGGGTACTGGAGCCCTCATTTCCACGGATTTCACCACTTTTCCACTGTTGCCAAAGGGGCAGCATTTCCCTGACGTTCTCCCTCCGCCCCGGGCTCGTCCCCAGCTGGGGTGACTCTGCGCCTCTGTGTCTTCATCTGTATCTTCTTGGTGGCCTGTGTCTATCACGGCTGAGTTATGGCTTAGCTGTCTTCTGAGTCACGGCGCCCGGCTACCTGCTCTTCCCACGGAGTCCTCGGGACGGCTCCGTTACCCTCTCGCATCTGCCCCCGCACGGGGGAGCCGCTTCCAGGAGCAGGTCCACCCGTTTCCCATCGAGTCCCAGAGCAAACGTCCGGGTCCAGCGGGATGCCCGTATCTGTGTCCAGGAAGGACCCAGGCTCCTGCACAAGCTGCCGGGAAGATGGGACCCGAGACGCCCGCCCCCAGCCCCCAGTCACGTCTTCCCTGAATTATAACCTGCGCTCAATTCTCTCCCACACACTTAATAAGCAGGCAGCGAGGCT